GGCTACGGCGCCGGCCAATGGGAGCGCAGCTTACGCTCCATCCTCTACAGGAAAGCATCGCCACTCCTCCCTCTGTGGGTCTGGCGCATGCGTCTAGTTGAAGAGGCTGCGTGCTGTTTGCGCATGCGCCGAGCCGGAAAGGCGATGGGTATTTTGCGCGTGCGCGGTTGCTAAGGGGCCTGCGGTAGCCCCGCGCATGCACGGCGGCACGTGGGTGTCCGGGGCACGACGGCTCCCACAGGGGGAGCTATGGACCCCCCAGCCCTGCGGATGACACCTATTGGGGGGCACCCCAGGGCCACCCCCTCCAGGGGCAATCCATAGGGCCTGGCCTCACCTGTGGGGGGGTGAGGGGGCCGTGTGTGTGTCCCAGACTCCTGGGGTCTGTCTGTCCCCTGGATGTGTAGGGCGTGCTTGCATGACTCGGATACCTGGGTTCTGCGTGTCTGTCGCGGGGGCCGGGGGGCAGTCTACGTGCACACATTCATCTGGATGCCCCGACGAGCCCTGCCCCTGCCCCCCGCAGCCCCAGACACCGCAGCCAAGTCCCACCCCACCGCCGGCGCCGACCCCCTCTCCTGTGTCCCACGGCGCCCAGACACCAGGCACCTCAGTGGGCAGCTTCTCCACGGAGCCGTGGCCCTGGACGCTCTGGCCAGGGGCCCCCCGGGTAGGGGTCCGGTCCCGTGGCGGATCTGGCTGCACCCTTGGCTGCCTCCGCGTCTGGTGGCCATGAGCCCCGTGCTTTCGCTAGATGCTGGGGGAGAAGGAACTTCCTGGTGCTCGTTTAAACTAACAACCTCCCTTCATGGCCGGCCCCTGGTTCTGGCTGGAGAAGGTCGGTTGTCAAGCCCTGTGGACTGTCCCGTCACCCCTTGGGATCAAGCCTTCCTCACGCCCCACCCTCGGACAGGCCAGGCCTCCTTAGTGGCTGCTCGCACGGAGGTTAGAGGATTCAGCGGGAAACCAACACTGAAATCTGCTGCTCTTGCGTCTGCAGGGGCTGGGAGAGACCCCCACCGGAGCAGCCCCCACCCCCTAGCACGATGCCTCTGGAGGGGGTGAGTACCTGGAGATCGCGCTGGCTTCCTTCGGGTCTGCCCTCGCCAGCCGTGGGCCGGGGCACCAGAGGCCCTCTCCAGCTGGAGATGTTCTGCCGCTGTTGGGGGTGGGGGGTCTCCTGATGTCTTGGACAGGCCTGATCCTGCCTGGGGCAGCAGGTGGGACTGGATGAGACCCCTGAGCTCCCTCCCAGCCCCTCTAGGACCCCATTCGATGGCCCCAGGCCCCCAGTGTGGCTGGAGCCAGCCTTGCACCCCCAACTCTCCTGAGCTTCTGTCTGGGCAGCCGGAGCCGCAGCCTGGAGACCTCCTCGAGTTCGACCGCTCTGGCTACAAGCACTGGGGGGTCTACGTGGGAGACGATGAGGTGAGGGGGGTGGGGGGCTGGACCCAGCGGGTGGCATCGTGGGAAGCAGGACAGGCAAGGGGTTGGCATAGCACCTGCTAGACCTGGGGACCTCGGGGGGGGATGCGAAGGCACTGTGAGCCAGACACCTGGGTTCTGGGTGGGGGCATGGGGGTGGCACTGGACTCTGTGTGTGGTGCCAGATGCCTGGATTCTGGGGGCAAGGCAGGGGTCCCGGAGGCCTGGGTTCTGTGTATGTGTGTGCGTGTCCCTCGGGCACCTGGCTTCTCTGCACATGGGTGCGTGCCCAGGCTCCAGCCCTGCTCTCCTCCCTCTCCCCAGCCCGGGCTCCTGGATCCCTTCTGGAGGTTCCTCGGCTTCACCAGACCCAAGTGTGTCATCCACGTGGCCAGTGAGCGCTGGGGCACTGCTGGGGTCCTGGGTAGGGGGATCAGACCCCACTCCCAGGCAGGCCCAGGTGCTGGAGAAGCTGCAGGGGGAAGGAGAGGGTGAACCCCCCCCGAACCAGCCCCCCTTTTCTGCAGCCAGGGAGGGGAGGCTGCCCGGACCCTCGATCCTGGGAGGTGACGGTGAGGTGCAGCCTGGAAGAGCAAGGGGAGAGAGGTGGAGGTTTCCAGTGGCAGGGGGACTCGGCTGGTGGGGGTGTGTGTGTGTGGACGTATATGTCTACACACATATATAAAAAACACACATAAGTATGCACAGATACACATATTCATATAGCAGCAGCTACACACGCACACGTGTGTGTCTGTATATCTGTTCATGTGTATATAAATATCTATATATGTACATATACACATATACAAAGACGTATATATGCATATATACACATAAATATTCAGATGCATTCATACACTGGCCACACAAATAGTGTGTGTAAACACACACTACAGCCATATAAATGTGCAAATATATGTATATCATGAACATACAAATATATGCAGATATAGCAATACACACGTATGCGCTACATATGTGTAGATATACACGCGTACAAATACTCATTTATGTAACCATTTATCTAGATATACATATATGTCCATATATATGTTTGTGTGCAGATATACATGTATGAACACATGTATATACCTATACACACCAGACATATATATGTATTTGCCAGTACACACACACACACACACGTGTGTGTCCAGTGTAGTGGAGCAGTGCTCACCAACCAACAGGTAGATCCCAGAGCCCCTCTCGTGGGGTTGGCCCTGGCCCAGCTGGGTGTGTGACGTGGGGGCTCCCGCTGCTAGGTGCAGCCCCCGGGGGCCTGTTCCCCCTCCCCCAACCTGTGCTTGGGACAAGGCGGCTGCTGCTGTGGGCTGCCCGCTGCGCCCAGAGCTCAGGTGTGGGAAGCGAATGGACTCCCAGCGCCTCCACCAGCCTGTGCCCAGCAGCGGGAGTCTCCCCCCTGGACCACGGAGACTTCCAGACCCTGGGCTGGGGGCTGGGGCCACGTTCGCAGCCGCAGCACAGCAGTGGGACGGGGCGCCGGCCCAGCCGGGTCTGAGGCACTCTGCCGTCCCCTGGTGGCAGCAGACGGACCAGGCGCACCCCCTCCTTTGCTGTGGGGGGGTGTCTGAATTGCATCCCCCACCCCCAGGCCACGGGCTAGCACCCCCTGGTGGGAACCAGGTATATTGCATCCCCCCACTGGTGGGGCAGGGGCAGCCCCTCTGCCCAGGCCTGTCGCCCCGCCACCCCGCAGCACGGACGCAGCAGCCCCATGAGATGTTAGTTCACATTTATTGTTGATCCCTCAGCACCCCCCTCCTGCCCTCTACTGTGGAGCGGGTGTGGGGAGGGACCCAGGGTCCTAGCACTCTGCATTGACTCCGGCTTTGATCCCAGCCCTGGGGAGGCTGGGGGAGGTCTTGT